AGTTAAAAGCCGCATTCAGTTTCGTAAATGTCCTTTTGAGATATAGATTTATTTTTGCGAAGCACGTGTAAAGTTAATTTGATTTTTCCATTTCAACTGAGAAGGGTACCTACAAGTATCAGTATCATCTTATGAAATTTAAGTTTGTATTTTATGTACACGTCTGATAAAATTTAATAAGAAAGGTACCTATATTAATTAGATTTAATCTCATTCTCAACAGTCTTATTTTAATTTCTTTATAATATATTTTCCATAAAGCATCGTAAGCGTAAAGGTGAAAGCCAAGTACAAAATAAATAAATAAGTAAAAAATTAGAGCGCTGAAAATTTTCCTTAAAAATAACGAGGTAAATAATTTGTTCACTTAAATCTAATTAACTTCATTTCTCTCCTTCCGTAGAAGGAATTACCCTCACGTAAGCTATCGAAACGTCTATGAATGTCTTTCGTCACCTGTCAAGTGACGCGAAAGTTTATGACCTGCTTTGTTTTATTTTCAAACTACGTCTTTTCGACGCAGAAACTAAGTTAAACTTGGTTCAAAATATTTTAAATAAACATAATTTCTGATATTCTTAAAATAAGTTTTGAAAAAAATTATAATTGATTTTTAAAAGAATTTCAAACTGAGATTTTCATTTTTTTTAGAAATAGGAAAAAAATGGCTGATATGATCGATTATCTGTCAATTTTTCTGACTAAAAAAAAAAAAAAAAAAAAAAAGATTTTTAACAAAAATTTTGGACGTGCTAGGAACGATTAAAAAATGTAAAAAAAATATCCCCAAAATACTTTGATCTTTCCTCTTAATAATAAACATTTTTAGATGATAAAGTTTTGTTTTAGTCAAGTTTGGCGTCTTTTTCGTCATGCTATAGTCTTTTTAGCGATCTCCTGAAGGTACCGATATGTATCAACACATTTGTTCTAGAAACTATGAAAAAATTGTTTTTACTAGAGAGGCAAAAACATAATACAATTGTGGAATTTTTTTCTAATCATCAACATTAGTTTCGATCATGTCGTTTACAGATTCTGAGTGAAGGCGGGGGGCGGGGATCACAGAAAAAAGATCAATGCGGAAGGGAAAATGTTATGTTAACTGCCCGAGGTGGGGTAATAACAGAAAAGGGTTCATGTGAATTAATATGAGACATTTTGAAAACCTCTTTGTCAAAATTCACTGGCTTTTGGTAAGGCAGTCAAGTTAAGGGGTATGTAAAATCTGAGGCCCTGACAATCTATATAAGCAACGGAAGACAAGGGAGATGAGTAAAAATTTTATTCTCTGTAGCCGACAATCCAGTATCCAATCGCTGTAATCCTCTAATTAATATGCTTCATAAGATTTGTGATGAATTTGGTTCTTTCTGGTGTTCAGAAAAGTGTACATTTCTTCAAAAGGCTTTTTTTTTCTTTCATTTCGTTAATCGTAATAACATTGATTGCTAATGAAACAAGAAAAGTTAAGTGTCTCGTTGTTTCAATCAAAACTATGTCCATAACACTACAAAGAATTCTAAGCATTGTTTACAATACTTTGGAAAATAAAGTGTCCTAAAAAGGTTGCTCCAAATTGGACTCTTTGGAAATTCAAAGCATTATTACTTCAATTCAAACGTTATTTTTTTTTAGTTGATACTCGTATTGGAGTAGAAAGCCCCATTTTTTTTTAAAAAACTGTTTATTTCGTTTACCGGTCTGCTCATTCGAGAAATAAAGAAAATGTGCCTTCCAACAGGATTCGAACCTGCGCTTTCTTTCGTAGTTTCTCCTCCGAAGAGAGACGCAGTTCGTTTAGAAAGAGAAAAAAAAAATGTAAAAATATTTTAAATTAAATCTAACAGAGACAGTAATAAACTAAGAAAAAAAAAAACTTCATTTTCAGTGATTTTTTTTTTTTTAGTAATTTAATTTTTTTTTGTCCTTCAGGTAATTCTCTTCGCTTTTGAATTAAAAACTTGTATATTAACAAACAAAAATCAAATAACTGATTTTATGAACAGTTATTTTAGGAGGGTATTTATTCAGATCATTCCACCATTCATCAACTACACTTTTTTGTTTATTAATCAAATACTGATTATGTGAAAATGTGTGTGTGTTAACCGTAATAGATCCAATTGGCAAATACATTTGTTTCGAAATTAATTCATAAAACTGATTAGAAACAAAAGAAAAACAAAACGGATAGAAAATAATGATTTTACTACACGCAATGTGCCAATTGTAGAGGGGGTACGGTTATCTATCCCTTCCATCGCTTCCGCTAACAACCAACAAAAAAGACTTTCTTTGGTCTTACTCTTACACTGTTAGGTTATTAGTCGTATTCATTTGATGTTTTCTCAAATAACTGTTCATCACAAACTTTATTTGGAAAGTAAACGAATCAGCACAATGACGAGACTATATGAGAGCCAATAGCAATAATGAAGTGCGAAGACAAAATGAAAATTTAGCAGGAAAGAGCAATCCTTTTTTTGTGTCACAATGCAACGCAGTGAATGATGGCTGACCATGGAATTGAAGTACAATAATACACAGATACAAAGAGAGAGTACGAAAAAGTTCTTATGACGTTGAATAAGAAAAAAAGAAAGAGGTATTTAAAAACTATCATTATGATGAAAGTAAATCTGCAAAATGAGAAGACCAGATTCTAAGCAACATTCTCTTAAAAAAATTTCCACAGAAAGTATGTTGGGAAAAAAGGCAACTTTCTGTGAAGTGACAAAAAACAAGATGGGTTTTAGCTTCAAAGTAATGCATCTCCATAAACCAAAAAGACAAAAGTTCAACGTTCATTTCCCTAACTATTCTTCTGGAATGGATAAATATTGTTTAACTTTTTTTTCTTTTTCTTTTTTTAAATCTAGTGTTCGCAGTAGCATAATTTTCTCTTTATTCTTATTTGACGCCAACGAAATCAATTTTCATAAGACTAGTCAAAATTTTTAAAAAGTGCATCCAAATAAACATTTGATTCATAAACTAACTGTATAATGAATGATTATGCATTAAATAATTTGTAAAACAGGTAATGAATGTCAATGTATGGAATTCTCAAAGATTTAATTTCAAGGCCGATAACTACTACAGACTTGGAAATTAATTGTATGAAAGAAGTTTTGCTGGAACTAGTTTGGTACGTTTACTTTACCTGGTACCAGGAGGATAACTAATCATTGTGATGATTAAAAATCAACCACAGCACCTTAAACGGGCATCTGGGAATGGGGAAAACAACAAAAGAAGAACGTCACGGTATGACACAATATATTTTATTTTAAATGGAAGTTAATGCAGACACTTTTTTTTAGAGATAAAAATAAAATTATCACAGTTAACAAAGTTATTTCGATTAAGGATTATTATATACGATTTTATAGAGTTTAAAAGAAAAAGTCAAATGTAATTATATTTACATTTTTTAAGCAAAATAAACTCAATGGGGCTGATAAGAACGTTTTTTGATGTTTTCAGAATTTCTAAATTTTCTAATAAGCCGAAGCGCATACAAATAAAATTTAATTTTTAGTCATTTTATTTCGACAATAATTTGGATATGGCTCATCATGTGTTCGCCAACTAATTGAAACTCAATGAAGTCATTTTTTTTTTAAATCGCTCAGTAAAAGAAAATATCTTTAATATTGATGTTAATTAATAACTACAATTAAAAATAAACAAAACTTTAAAATATAGAGAACAGAAATTTGTAATAATGTTCACTAGTCTAAGAAGAGTAGTTGAAGCAACTCTTAAAAAGAAAACGTTCAAAAAGGTAAGAAAAATCTGGAAATTTCCATGATCTTTTTAACGTCAAAAAATTGTGAAAAAGAAAAATACATAAATTTAAATATCACCCAGTTCTTTTAAACGCTTTGCAATTATGTTATTGTTAAAAGTAAAACCTTTCGAAATAAAAACAGAAATCAAGTAGAAAGCAGAGGCATTTTGTATTAAAAGTTGCATATAATTTATTTTGATTAAAAAATAAAAACCAGTATAAATTTAAAATTAAAAAAAATGATTAACTAACTTCATGCCAATCATTATTTTTTCGGGGATAACGTTTTTAAGTTTTACAAGCAGTGATAAGAAATAAAGCCTACTAAAATAGTGAAGCTGACACATAATTTTTTTTTTTTTTTTTTCACAAACTTTTCACAAAGTAGGCAAACATGTTGCAGCTACAAAAAAGGTGATTAATCCTGTAAATTTTATTTACCTTTTCCCACAGCGCAAAAATGCAAGTTCTGATATTGCAATTGCGCCAACCAAGAGTTTTATGTTGTGCAATCTTAAAAGAATGTTACTGTTTTTGGTAAGGAGCTCGAATTATTTTGATTAAAAAAAAAAAAACACAAAAAAAAAAACGATCAGACCACATTATTACAATTTGTTTTCGTTTATTTTCCTTCTAGATTACGCCTTTCTAAATAAATGCAAAAGAAAGTTGTAACAGTGCAAAAGTAAATTTAAAGAAAAACTATCGGATTAAAAAGACGATATGAAAGAAAAAAAAGGAGTGAATGTGTATCCCAGCTGCGGAGGAAAAATTATCTTCGTCGCATCCAAGTGTTGTCTTGATTTTTCTTTTTGGTATTTTCTGTAATTAAAACTTTTTTCCAATGATTTTATTTTATTTTAAAAGTATTCATATTTTGGTGTTTCTTAATCTTATCTAATTATTTTTATCAGATTCAAAGTAACGTCAATAAGACACTCGTCATTTCGACAAGTTTTAAAAGGTTAAAATAAAGTTTCTAAATTACACATGTATTTTTTTAAAGTTCTACCTAGCGTGGTATGCATGTCAAAGCTTTTTACAGGATTTCTAACTTGAAGACAAACTTTGAATAAAATTATTTTGCGGAAAAAAAAAGTCAAGTTTCTATTCGGAGTATTGTAAGAACAATAATGAAACAAAAAAAAGAAAGACTAAGAAGAGGAAGGATTCCCTTAAGAAAATTAAAACAAGAAATATTTACCTTGTGTTGATGAAAAAAGCGTTAAATAGAACATATGCAGCATAAAAAAAATGAATGTCGATCTCTCAAGTTGAATTTATGAAGTTGTTTTCTAAGGTTAGAACCGTAGTTACAAATTTTCAGGTACTATCCAATTCCAAGAATCTCACTGTCGACTAACCTGCTGGTACCTCGTTTGAATCAATACCTTGGAAATCGTGTGACTTCTTTTTCTTACCTTCTTCAGACTATCCTTTTGTTACTCACTTTCCAAAACTTTATTTCTCTATCCCTTTCTTTCTATTCATGTTAATTCTGTCCAGGGAGGGTGGGGTTTTGTTGTATGTTGTTTAGGCGAATGAAAGCGCACAGAGAATAATTTTGCTGCTACTCTTCTTCTTCTTAACGCTAAAAAGACTTCTTATTCCTAAAACTCTTTCTTTTTTTTGTTTTGTTTTATCTTTCTGCGCACCTCTCTGTTTTTCTTTTTATTTTTCCCTATGGCGCATAAGATTTCTCTACTAAAAGGTCAGTCTGTTTTTCTTTTCCTTATCACTGCCAATGCTTGCACTCTCTCTCTCTCTGATCGCATGTGTCCTTATATTTTTTTTAGCATGGGGCTAACAAACTACGTGGAGCAGGAGTTTAAAACTATACCCTCTTTATTACAGTTGAAAGAATCATTATCATGATCTGAAAGATCAAATAACTCAAGAGAAATGGGAAATTATATGTTGAATGTTAAAGGCAGTAACTTCGAGAAGAGAAAAAGCAGCAGCAGTCGTAGCAAACTTAGTTGAACAACAGTAACACTGACAGTCAAATATCTCACTTGTCTTTCTACCTCGGTCTGTTTTCAACCCATATGTTCAACATAGAGAATTATGAAATTAGTGAACAAGTTGTATTCAGTAATACGGGACTTCTGAAACAGTTAAAAGCAAAAGTTTGTAGCTAGCAGCAAACTAAAAATGTGTTGCTATTATTTCAATTTGGAATTTTCCTTTTTAGTTGTGGGGAGGTACTTTTCCACTAATTCGCTGGAAAAAGAGCATAGCTTGATGAAAAAACGCCCAAAACTTAATAAAAACAAAGTTTTATCGTCAAACAAAATGTTTATTATTATTATTATTAAGAGAAAAGACCAAGATATTTTGTAATTATTCTTTTTTAAAACACGTTCGAAATTTTGGTTAAAAATATTGTTTTTTTTTTTTTGTTTTGTTTTGTTTTTATGCGTCAACGGTGTATGGAAAATTTCGCGCCTGTTTTCCGGTAAAGTATCGCATTAATTTGGAAAGTCTTCCAAAAATCAAATAATTGTCGGATTTTAATGAAACTTTCAGGACTTATTCACAAATGAATTAATTTATTTTTGAAATTATTATTTTTAGAAAATCTTGGTAAAAATATATATTTTTTACATCTGCTATCTATCCCCACTTATTTAATTTCATGAAATTTTGAGAAATTAAATTTTCTTTATAATTTTTTTAAAATTAAATGCAGTACTTCTTGAAGAATGTAAAAATCATCAATCTTTTTCAAACTACTGCTAGTACTTTCTCCTATGCTCCGAATCGTAAAATAAAAACTGCAGTAAAACTAAGCTTTGAATTGCATTTATATTAAGGACATTATAGTCTAAAGAAAAAAATCGATGAATTTTTACTATTTTTATTTTTTTTATTATAAAGTTACAAAATTTTTTAAAAAATTCTTCCAAAGTTCGTACTTATTAGGTTAAGTGAAGACTATATATTTAAACGAAAATTGAAAAGTTTAATGCAAATCATGACGCTGTTATTTTTAAAATAATTTTTAATTTTTAATTTTTTTTATGTGTTTAAAAATAAACGTGCCGATTTTGAAAATATGGGTGACGACATTATCAGAAAATAAGATCGATCATATAATAGTAAATTTAAAAAGTCAACATTCCTAAAATTAGATTAACTAACAGGAATATTTCCAACATTTTTAAGATTACTGAGTACTTAAAATTATATTTAAAAAAAACAACGTTTTTTACCTGTCATTTCCTTAAATTATGTTTTGACAGATAAAGTCTCCGTGTAGAACAATAAAAAAAGTGTCAACATCGTGTAAATCACTCAGTGATTTACGACGTGTTGACATCACTTGACGAGGTGGTAAAAAGCACTTAATCGCCGCTACTGTTTATTTTAAAAATCAATTTCTCTGTTATTTTCAACTTAAAGTAAATAATATTTGTTTCAAATCAGATTATATTTTAATTTTTTAAATTAGCTTATATTCCTCAAAAAAGTTTAAGAAAAGTATATTCTGTTTGATTTTGAAATCTATTTTTAGTTTTACAGGAAATAGTACATTTTTAAATCCTTTAATTTTCAATTAAAGCTAAATTGAAAGCTTCAAGAAAGATTTTTCATTTATGAAAATTCATTTTAAACCTTAGGTATAAAGAAATTAAATTGTATTAATAATTATTATTATCTACAATTATTGTAGTTATATTAAATAATTCCCTCTTTCTCGCGGCACCTTACTTTTCTTCAAACAATTAGCTGCCAAGTTTCCTCTCTTTCCCCTTTTTTTATTTTCCCTATCTCAGATTGGCAATTTTATTTTCTTGAAAACCAAGCACGACCTGAACAAGTTATTCAAGTTTCTTCAACAAATTATATGACACAAAAGCACTAACAACATTAAAAAGACGTTTGATGATGATAACAACGTAATGTTTTTAAGCGGCAGTAAAAGAAAATAAGATTATTGTTTTGATGTTCAGTCGTTCATTTTATTGAATTAATATATTTTAGTTGAATCCAGTAAAAAGCTTAAAAAAGAAAAAAAAGTTTTTATGTATCTTTCCATTGGGATGGTGATTGTACTGAGAGTGAATATATAATCTTTAAATTATTTCTTTGTTTCGTTTTTCTGCAATATCAACCCTTTCCAGGTTATTTAATGCACAAATCTTATCTTTTTGATAAACAGTTTTATGAATGTTGCTGTATATTATATAAATTTGTGTATATTTTGTTTTTATCTGTCAGCAGTCTGTGTGTGTGTGTGTGTTTTTTTTTTTTTAAAGGTTATTCCTCTGCATGGGAATAATACAGGAGGCGTTTTCTTGAACCTCAATGAACAAACCGTTTCTTATCTTTTCTGAGCGCATGTATCTCGTTCAAGATACATTTTTGAGGAAAGAAAATTTACGAAGTTTCAAGTTGAAATTTTCTTGTGCTGAGGACAACTGAAAAGTTTTGTTGATTGAGCGCATGTGTGATGCAATATTAGAAGTCATGACTAAAAGAATTAGGAGACAGGTTTGCTTGGCTTTTGTTGGTGATTGATGTTGGCTGTCGAGTTATAGGCGAATGTCATTTTGAAAAATTTCAAGAGTCTAACATCAATTCTGCGTTTGACTGTCGAAGGACATTTATAGAAAAGCAGCTCTCGCTAGATCCTAGTCATTTTCCTCTTTTTTCTTGACTTACTGTTTATAAATAACCCCCGTTTAATTATGATTGTTTAAGTTTAAATGTGTTGGGTTCATGTGTGCTGGAGGAGGACTTTACGCCAATTACTTTTTGTTGAAACTAACCTGGGCACTTAAAGCTGGAAATAAGTTCATTTTAAACAAAACTCGCTGAGTTTTATCTCAGTATGATTTGGAAAAACTTCCAGTTTCTCTGTAAAGAGCTGTTATAGTTTCAACAAATTCACATAACAACATTTTAGTCGGTGTTATGCATGTAGTACAGATGCAAACACTTTCGCATATCTAGACCAAACAACAAAATCGCTGTTTCAAGTAAATCAAAACAGTCCCTTTCGCCGGCAAAATGTTGGGCGCTAAAACAGAAAATAGCATTTCCTCCGTGACAAGCGGCCAAGCAAAACAGACACATTGTTTGAAGACAAAAAAAAAAAAAAATCAGGTGACTACAAGAATGTTTGCCACTCAAACATATCTTTTATCTCTCAGTTTACAAGATACATTCAAAATCTTCCAACAGAGGTCTCCATTAACGAGTATTTTAATACTTTGACATTTAACAGGCTACAACAATTCTATAAGGTAAATATAAGAATTCTGGTAATGATTAGCCGTTTCCTTATATGCAAATATTCAGCATTCATAGACCGAACAGCAAGTACTACTGTTACTTGAAATTTATAAAATCCTTCTATTAAAACAATCTTTCTCGAGTCCTTTAACTGTTATCGTATTCATGAGAGCTTCGTTCCTAAATTTTTGTTCGATGTTGTGTGGAAAGTGAACATCTTGATTATGTTATTCTTTTCTCTACAAGTTACCTGTGGTATCCATTTTAGTCATTGCTACGGTTGAAAACCCTGGTTATGTGGTTTCTGTTATTTGGCAAAGTTCATGTGATTCTGTAGCGCCGGTCCACGAGATTTGAAGAAGTGTGGGCCTCTCTAAGACCTATAGGGTTAATTCGCTCGAAGCCATTTTTAATCATTGATCTGAAAAGCTGTCGTTGATAATTGATTTTTTTTTTTTAACGGGTTGGACGCTATTCTTGACATACATAAGAAAGTCTCGATCTGACGACTCTATTTAAGAACATAACACGAGTTCTTAGGTTAATGTCTTGGTTTTGTAGCAGTTTGTGGTGTTAGGATAAACTGTCACTAGCACAACCTATTCTATTTCTTTTTCTCCTATACTACACTTGTTATAACTGATCCATACACCGAGATATTTGAAATGTTTAGCATTTACTAGTTCCACATGCATAGTTTTTGTTTTGGAAAGGTTTATCTTGAGTCCTGCCTTTTGGAACAATTGGTAGAGAATGTTGACTTTTTGTTCTTGTTTTTTTTTTTATTCCAAATATGAATCTCGATGTAATCAGCATACCCCAACCTCATAATCAGTCCACTAGCTTCGTGAGAAAAAAAACCGGAACATTTTTTCCTATTAGTAGATAGGATGTGATATGGAATACTTAAATGATCGGTGTCCGTTCCCTCACATCTGTACGTAGAGTATAATCTAGAAAGACATTAAATAGACTGTTCTCATTTTCGCCTTGCCGT